CAACTGATGTTTCTGATTTTCCTAGTCCACTGGAGCATTTCCCTCTGCATTCTGCATCTCACCTTCCAGCCATCTATTGGGAAAGCTGATGCTTCCTTGAGAAGCCCCAACTATAAGCAATGTGGTTCTAAGAGTAGTCCAGTTGCCTTGTTTGTGCTGTGTCCTCTTATAAGGCAGGAGCAGATGAGACCACCTTGATTCTTTTCAACTGGTGGAGTCTCTGTTTACTGACCTTTGGGGTCTGAACTTGTTTCTTTGTCTAGCAAGCACCTGGGAAGATTGGGTGCAATTTGCTCCTTCCATAGACCAATTTATTTCACAAGTCTTTGGGAAAGTTAATGGTTCCCAGTACTACATAAAGCACCAGAGAGCACGCAGCACATAATCCCATGGGAGGTAACCTCAAAGCTTTCAGTTGCTCTTTGTGGGCTTCTCTCACCCTGCGGATAACCACCTACTATTACAGGAAGCTGGACACGGTTTCCCAAAGCAGTCTGTTAACCCTGTGGTTCYTCCCCAGCTCTTGGCAAAAGACTGGCCCTTTGGCGTGCAGGTCTGCAAGCTGGTCCCGTTCATCCAGAAGGCCTCAGTGGGCATCACAGTTCTCAGTCTTTGTGCTCTCAGCATCGACAGGTAATAAGAAAACTTATATTGCTGCATTGCCTGCCTGCTCTATATTTAACCATGGCATGTCCCTTCCCTGTCACCAAGGGACGGAGTGCAGGGTGGCCTGGTTCCACTCCAGGCCAAAATTCAGAAAGGGGACCAAATGTTGTCACACAGAGGAGATATCCACCAGGAACTGACTCTTCTTTGTGGCGAGAGTGTTCTAATACTGCCAGAAAAAGTTGAGGGGAAGAGCATGACATGTTGGAATATGCTATATGGATGGGATGGGTGGCACCTCTCCCAGTGGAGTAGGGCAGATACACACAAGGCAAGGATGCCTACTATCACACTCATCCTTTTTGTGGTCTCTTACAAGCCCATTTCTGATCCTTCCCATTCCACTGAGGGATGCTCCTGGGTCTGTTTCTGTTCAGAAATTAAGTACGAGAAAGTGTCTTTGGGAACAACTCTAATTTCCATCTTATCATCCTCTTCCTGTTGCTTTTCTCACTCTCCCTGATCTCTCTCTGTTGTGCTTCCATGTATTTGGTAGGTACAGAGCAGTGGCTTCCTGGAGTCGGATCCAGGGGATTGGAATTCCCATGTGGAAGGCAGTCGAGGTGACGCTCATCTGGGTAGTGGCCATCGTGCTTGCAGTCCCTGAAGCTATAGCCTTTGACATGGTGGAGCTCAACTACTGGGATCGAGACCTGTGGGTGTGCATGCTCTCCTCCGAGCAGAAATCCAGCTTCATGATGGTGTGTACTCTGCTCAAATACAGCTGCAGCATGAGAAAGGGAGACAGGCAGATGAGGCATCCTCCCTCATGGTTTATAGAATTCAGTGCTTCTGCAGATGGCTTCTCCTAGCCATTAGGGTGAACATGGGAAAGCAGTATCAGACAAAACACAGGAGGCCTGGAATTGTACTGACATGGGGTGGTCTTGCTGAGAACATGGGATCAGAAAATGAGGAGCTGAACCTTAAGTTGGCTTGTGTTTACTGTCCACCTCAGAAGGCTGTGCCCCATCTCAGTAGGCTTCAAAGTCACCTCACTGCCATGACAGGCCAAGGAACAGCTTCACAACTGTCTGCTTAAGTAATAGTTAGCACAAGACCAACTAAGGGACAAAATGGGAATTAAAAAGATGCACAAAATTACTGCCTCTGTCTGCCAAAATAAGCTCCTTTCAATTGCCTTTTACACAAGAGTGCTGGAGTGGACTGGCAGTTGTGGGAGTGAGATGTGCTGGAGCGTGTGACCTGAAATTCTCTGAGACAAGTAKGTGCACTAGTTTTGGGAAAGAGAATCCAATGTACATTCAAAACAGGGGTTGTTAACACTTTCTCACATCAGGAATGTCAGAATGGTCCGATGTTGGTCAGCATCAGGCTCACTGCCAGGTCAGCTCATGCTCCAGCTACCCTCTCCCCATGCACATGCACTTTCCTCCTAGCTTTCTAACTGATATCCCTCTCTGTTCTGCATGCAGTTCTATCGTGATGTGAAGGACTGGTGGCTTTTTGGCTTCTACTTCTGCCTCCCCTTGGTATGCACTGGCATCTTCTACACTCTCATGTCTTGTGAGATGTTGAGCAAGAGAAACGGAATGAGAATTGCTCTGAATGACCACATGAAACGGGTAAGCAAGAGAAAGGCAGAAACCAGATATTTCCTCAAACAGGAGAGTGCTGTTGAAGGGGAGAACATATGCTAGTTCCTGTAAAGGACACACACGAGCTCCACAGAGATCAGTAGCTATTGGCATATCAGTGAAGGTACATAGATTAAATGAGGTATAGGGGCCTTCTGTTCTACAATCTCCCAACTCAGAGATAACCAAAACAACTAACTTTATCACCACAAATCAGCTTAATTTTAAGTTTCTTAATGGTTGTTATCTGTAGCTTTGTTCTCACACCGCCAAAGTGCACCAAGTTAGGTATGTGTCTTATAACAAAGGATACGGGAAGAGGAATAGTTTATTGTTCCCTTCTTGCCCTTTCCAGAACAATCCTTTGAGGGTGACATCATGTTAACAGTGATCGTGTTAATGCAGGGTGAAGGGTGGATGGGTGAGGAACCTGTGTCCTAGGGAACATAATCCTACCAAAGTCAAACACCAACACTGTTTATGTATGTGAAGGAGCCCTTCCTGCAGCCCAGATATCGTGAGGACATAGAGACTAAGGATAGAGACCTACAGGCAGTGCCTTGACTTGGAAGAGGTACTGASCCCTCCTAAGCCCTCAAATAACTTGAAGGGCTCCTGCTCAGAGGGGGAAGGTGATGCTTTGCTCCACCTGCTTTCCTGTGCTCGGTGAGATTATCCTTTCTCCTCTGTCCACCTTCTCCATGCAGCGCCGGGAGGTGGCCAAGACAGTGTTCTGCCTAGTGGTGATCTTCGCACTCTGCTGGCTGCCGCTCCACCTCAGCCGCATCCTGAAAAAGACCATCTATGACCAGATGGACCCCAACAGATGTGAACTGCTCAGGTAGGGGCACCTTCATGAGTGCAACTGTAGGTACCGACATAGACATKGTTGGGTTCACATCAGACTCAGGGAGTTGCCTTCCAAAATCCCACCTGTTTCACTGGTTCCTTTTCTAAATGTCATTGCCCTTCTAATGGGCACAGAAAGAAGGTGAGGGAGACTCCAAGAGGAAGGAAATTTCTGTTTCTTGAGGTCTCTGTAGTGAGGCAATCCTGCCACATGGTATATGCCTATCTTCCCCTCTCCTTCCTATTCCTCACACCTGAATCCAGTTCTGGCTAGACAGGATTGCTGTGTGCGAGTTTGACAACAACAAGGTTACCCCATGGAAATGCAGATCCTGTGATCTTGGGTTACTCAATAAATGACCCGTGCAAGAAAAAGCACTATGCAATTGCTTAAGTGCAGGAGGGCTGCTCTGTGCTTTCCTCTATGGTATTAATTACTGGCTCTTTGTGCAAGCAAGTTCCTGGGCCAGGCATTTTGGAAACCCTCTCTGTTCTCAGCTTGGTGAGATTCCAACACGTTAATCCCTTTCTCTTCCCTCCTGCCTCAGTTTCCTCCTTGTGATGGACTACTTTGGGATCAACATGGCCTCCCTCAATTCCTGTATCAATCCTGTGGCTCTCTACTTTGTCAGCCGGAAATTCAAGAACTGCTTCCAGGTAGGAGCAAACTCCCCAAAATTCCTGGCTCTGGCAGCTACACACTTTGGCTGGCAAAAGCCAGAGGACTTGCTCACCAGTGGGTCTTTGTAACCCACCTTTGTAACTTCTGTCTCTACCCTCTTGTCTCTTCACAGTCTTGTCTGTGCTGCTGGTGCCAGAGACCAGCTCTGAGCATTACGCCAACGGATGAGAAGGGCTCTGTTGGGAAATGGAAAACCAATGGGCAGGAGCTTGGTCTGGACCGCAGCAGCTCCCGCTTGAGTAACAAGTACAGCTCTTCCTAAAGATGAGCCACCCACAGGGCAGAGAGGAGAAGGGACTGTGACAACACGGCAGGACACTTCYATTTCTTTTGCCCAGCCACTTCCCAGCTGGGCCTGAATCGTTTTTGCCTTCCTGTTATAACCCACCTGGAAGGAGCTACAACAATACACTGATCCCAGGACTAGCTCTCAATTCAGCCTTCGAGCCCCACTTGTCCATCATCTGGTTCAAGTTGCCTCTGAGGGAGGGGGAAGAAGGGGATTCAAATCTGTGTGGGGTTTTTCATTTCCCTGTAGGAAAACCAAACGACTTAACAGCCATTTGTCTTAGGTGGAAACATTGGATGGGAAGATAACATGTGTGAAAAGGGAAGAAAGGTTGAGACATGATCACTTTGAAATAGATGTGGGATGGGAAGGAGATGGCGAGGAACCTGAATGGCAATTTCTAGCTGAGAAAGCAAAATCAAAGCTAGATCATATCTCTTATCCTCTCTCTCTTTGCWTCTGGGACAAATATTCCCTGGTCAGAAAGCCAGCATAAGACCTAGGCAACACATAGTCTTACTGAAACCAGTAGCCTGAATTTTCCAGTCATGATTTGGAGGGATAGGCAGCAACTCAACCTCATTGCATGATCAATCTCTACCTGATCCTGGGAAATCTAACCTAGGCTCTCTTCCTGAGAATGAAGTTCACCCGACCTGTGTATGGCACCAAAAACGATTGCACGTGTGTCCTGGGAGCAAGTCCTGGGGGATCAGAGATCCTTGGTAAAGCTAATGGCAGCTTCCAACGAAACAGGTTAGCTCCCCTCTAGCCAGGTACTGTAGCGGGCCCAAAGTGTTGCCCTTCCATGGAAGAGTTTGTAAGTCTAGTAAAGGGAAGGTGAGTTCATCTGAATCTAGATAAGGCTGGTACCAAACCACCAGCTCTTACCTTTCAAGCCCCCTTTGTAACCAGAAGYAGCTAATTCTTTGCCTGACACGGGATGCAAGCGAGAGGATCAAGGAGTTGAGTCCTTTCCAGCCTTGCTCTGCAGCCTTGAACAGCTGGAAGTCCCACAGCCTTCTTCAGTCATTGCCTCCCAAGGGGACTGCCTGCAAGGCCACAGCTCTGAAAGGAAAAAAAGACAAGTGACCTGGGTTTTGGTGCCAGTTTTTGGTCTTCCCCCCGCTAGCAAGGCAGGGTGGCAGTGAGGATGAACCTCAGTATGTTCTGCCCATGGCCAAAAGCTTCTGAAACTTCAGGGCATTTGTAAAAAGCACAGAGATGCTTGTTCTCCACGTCAAATGAGGTTGGAAAAGGTGATGGTGAAGGTCCCAGCCCAATTTGCTGCTGGCGTTAATAAAATACAGCAAAGAGCTTTCACAAATTTACTCCTTAAAACAATTAATCCCCAAGTGCTTTTCCCAGTGTGATTTTCTAAGAATCATAGATCTTGCATCTCTTGCTGACAGGTCAGGAAAGCCTGCATGAGAAAGTTTTAGTAACTAGGATTTTGATGCTTTTTTTCTGATTTTTTTTTTATTTTACCTCTTTTCTCCTTTCTCTATTTTTCCTCTTGTCACTGAAAAAAAAAAAGTGAAAAAGGAAAAACAGAGATGAGAAAAGACCTGAAAATAAACCAAAAAAATTTCAAGCGTTTTTTTTTTTTTTTTTTTGCTTAGCAAACACCTATTAAAGAAATAAGACAGCTTGTTTCCTACAGTCTTACATACCTACCAGAATAGATTTGTACATATGAAATTAACAGTGCCTAACTGGCTGCATTTCACACAGGAAATCAACGCAGAAAAATGACAAATCATGAAAATCCATCAGAGATGTTTTCTTACCAGAGGGAATTTTTAAATTATTGTACTTTTTTTTTWAAGTGAATTCTACATGTTTCCACATTTGTCCACATTCACATGCAAATGGAGCCTGTGACTTGAAATCAGTCACTTCCGGGGCACAGCAGTGGCTGAGCCAGTCGATCCCAATCTGTGGCAAATTCAGCTCCAGACGACCTAACTCCATAGGAGCCTCCTGGTGGRACATGGCAGGTCTTCTCCTAGCCAGGACCAGCCAAGCTTGGGCGCAAGCAGCTGCTCTGGTGTGATTTGCTCCAGATGAGCATCTCTGTGATAAGTTCTCCCTTAGTCAAACAAGACCAAGACAAAAAAGTCGCAGCCCAAAGAGAAAGTAATGAACATTGGGAGCAATGCATTTGCAGTCTGATTTTAGCTGCTCATGGAAGTGCAAAGGCAAACAGAGCTCCTTGCAGCCAGCTCCATCTGCCCTCCAGAGACGAGGGGTTGCACAGTTATGAGYTTATTCAATCTTCACTTGCTCCTCCAACACAGAAGTCCAGAAGGGAGCAAGCCTTGCAGCCCAGCTCAGGGAACATGTCATTGGCACGCGGCACACAGCCACCCCTGGGTGCTGCAGGAAGTGACCATTGCGTCAGTCACCAGCTGGGTTTTGAAACCTTTAGAAAAAAAGTGTTAATCTCCATCATGCGTCTGCTGAGCAGTCATGGGATTGAGTCTTGGTGCAAGAGTCAAGTTCTAATTTATTCCCTTCTATCTCTTCCCCCACACCAGGGAAATTGCTTTCCTGCATGATCATATCTGATCCCACATGTAGAAGAGGGAGCTGTTGGCATGCCTGCCATGCCACAGGGTGTAACTACTGCCAGGAAAGCCCCTCTCCCCCTTCCTCCATGTGCTCCAGCTTGGTCCCAAGCCCTATGCAAAAGCCTATTTATCCCACGCAGAAACTTCTGCCTCAAAAAGCAGGCCAGACAGGATTAGCTAAAAGGAAAGTCACTGCAGCCATGCAAGGCAGCACACAACTATAGACACGGGAAAGCTGAATCTACTGCAGCAGGGATGYCAGAGAGTCATATTAAGAAATGCTGCCTCCAGCTGGTTTCTCAACCCTGTCTAATAACACAAACCCACTTTCAGAGAGACCAACTGTGTCAATTTGTATTTGAAAGAATGATTTTATAGAGAAATCCCGATATTTTATGTTCTCTCTTATTCCTCTGTATGTTAATAAAACATGTTGGTATTTGAAAGAAAAATCTCTGGGTGTTTCCTACCAAGCAGCAGGGGGTCTGCAAAGTCTGCTAAATACTTAATTGAGTGTCAGCGGGTTCCTCTGGTAACTGCAGACCTCCACTGAGAAGACAGAGAGGTGTCTCCTGGAGTAGAACAAACTGGAAAGGTTCACACTCCCACACCTGGCACAGAGCAGATGGAACTCCTGCAATTTCAAGACATATTACACTTAATAAACAGCTTCCACTCAGTGAATTGCCAGTAAATCCAAATAAGACCAGGGTTTCTTATTCATCAAGGGCAGTCTGGACCAGTATTATTTGGAGGTAACAAACGGCAGCAGGTTTTTTACTCAGCTTACCCCAAAGAGAAGAAAGCATCATTTTATAGGGACCTATATGAACACTGGTCGTATCTGTTCAAGTCAATTGCATGGGAGCCATGGAAAGGAAAATGATTCAAATGAGAAGACAGTGCTGCTCCTCTAAAAGTCTGACGGTAYTGAAGTGAATTCTGTGCACCAGACTGCACCAGTAAGCCCAGGTCTGAAAACACTGGACAGCAAATGGCAACAGCTTTTGAGGAGGGCTAGACATAAGACAGAACAGTGACAGATGAGGAACTGCCATTTGGCCATCTCCTTCTGTACCTGTGTTGAGCTGAACACAGCAACACCTCTGCAGGATCACACTTCACACTTTATTATTAAAAAAAATACAAATTTGCTTCAAAGTGGTAATAGAAAATAATAACAAACTCTTGACATGGGGAATTCAACACTCACTCACGCACATGGGCTACAGACATTATCCACAGGGGACTGTCTTCTCCAGACGCTACTGCATCTCTTCCTCCTTTTGGGCCCTGTATTCCCTCATGCTCCGCTGCAAACAAGAGCAAAGGACAAATGTTAACAGTGTATGTGGAGGACTTCAAATACAACACCACCATCTCGGTCCATGTTGCAGCTTCTCAGTCCAAGGCCTGGAAAAGCAGAAGGAGTGAGGACGTTTTGACAGAGCTCCAGGTACTTTCAGAAATGACTGAGCTTTATAACCACTGCAAGATAAAAGGAAGCCAGGATGGGCTACTCAAACCTAAACACAGCGAGGTTTCCTAGAGAGAATCCCTGCGGATATTGGTCTCATCCTGCTAGGAGATTCTGMGGTAGGCAGGACTAGACCAGCCTCAGAGCAAACAAGCACTTGGTGCAAGAACATATGCAGCAGCTCCAGTTCCAGCTCCCAGGATCTTCTTTACTGATTCGACCTCTCAGTGTCCTGCTAAAACGCACCTCCAGGGGCATCACTTAGAGACATGTAGACCCTCAACCAGCCATGGGATGTGACAGGGGCCGGAAGCTCAAATTTTCTCCTGGCTCAAACCAAGCCCCTTGGGGACGCTTTGGCACTGGTGTTGCTTCTCAACAAGATGGGAAAAGCTCAGAAATGTTCTCATTTCAGGGAAGAGACATGAAGTCTCAGGAGAATTTCCTCAATTACCTGCATAAGTTTCTGTTCCTTAGTGCTCTATTAACAAGGAAAACTGCCAGAAACAGTCACGGACAAATTACAACCCCTGCTGAATTTCAGACAAAAATATATCATTAGAGGAGCCACGGGGCTTTGCAGATACTCATTTATCCTCACCCTCAACATCAGGGATGAAATGGAGATTTGAGACCTGGAAAACCAGAATCAGGTCAGGGTCAGGTAGAGAACCCCTGAAAACACTGTCATGTTTTCATGTCTAAAGTGCCTAGAACACATCTCAGCCCATCCCTCTCCTCTCTTGGACTGTGAGGTAGAAAAGGTCTCTAAGCTCTTGAGGTAACAGGCTCACCTCAAAGGTGTTAAGGACGTGCTGGCAAACACCCATCAGATCGTTCAGGCCTTTTCGGAATGGCTCRACAGCTGGAAGGGACCCTTTGGGAAAGAAGACACATTGGTGAAATGGGAGGTGGTTGCAGAGGAGTTTGGCAACCTTCTTCCCTGACACATAGTGGCACTACAAAGGAGTTGGCCCCCCAACAGAGAGAGGCTCTCATACCAGCATCCAGGTACGTGACCACACACTTCTCCCCTCCCAGACAATCAGCAACAGCTGGAGAACTGAGCACAATGTCATTGTCCAATCTCTGGCCAAGCAATAGCAGAAAAGTCTTTCTCATGAGCTGTGCATTTGCTAGCTGCAGGACAGCAGCTGCATAAGTCAGCACACCTAGGTTTTGCTTTCCACACATCAAACTTATTTAGGGAGAAATGCAGCACCCATCACTTCTGACTGTAACTGGCAAACCTATTCCCCCCCTGCACTATAGCTCAGTGACTGCTGCCAGTCAATTTGGCACCAAGGAAAGCCATGCACCCCCACGTCCTCAGCCATATGACACTGCTCACTTTTACAGCCAGCTAACAGAAAAACTGCAACAAAAAGGCTCAGTAGAAGCGGAAAATAATGTTTTGCTTTCTTTTTTACAACCCACGGTTGAGGTCTGACATGAGCAGGGTGAATCCCCCAGAAGAACCCTATCACAAAGGCAACACGTGCACATACCCCTGGTTTGGATCCGGAAGTTAATCTTGCTTTCAGAGGGGTGAGTGATGCAGTAGCCACAGAATTCCACATCTGGGCTGCAGGAGAGAAAGAGAATAGTGAAACCCAGGCAAGTTCAAAGCAAATCTCAGGAATCTGAGGCTCAGGCAATCCCAACAACTAGTAAAGCTGCTGGGTCTCAAGATGTTTCTGAAGTGACTGGGTCTTATGAGAAGGGTACACGAAGGGAAACTACCTGTGCATCCTCATTCACATTTCTCATCTCCAGCTGTGGCACCACCACAGCACCACCAGGTTTTATTCAGTAGGTTTGCAGACTGCATGGCACGTGCCTTTGTACCCAGAGGTGGTTCCACCTGGGAGAACGACTATGTGCTTAGCAGAGACCAGCCTCTCGCAAAGACTTTGCTGCCTTTCCCATCATGACGATTTATCAGAAGAATGAACATGACATTTGCAATGTAGCTGTCATTTGAGATGATGTTTTCAACTCTCTGCACTAATTCTTCTGAGGCTTACAAGGAACTTTTCAGAATCCATCAGTGCTGCCCAGTTTAATAAATTTACATGATGGGTGTGACCTTATTTGTATATTTTATTGAAGGCAGACAAGTATTTAATTCCCAACATCAATTTTGGGTCTCCAAGTGTGTAAGAAAGATTATCAATTTGCTTAATACTAGTTAGTCCTGCCCTTGCTTCTGAGGCGCCACATCCCAGGAGGAGATAGAGATACTCTCTAACCATACACTCTTACATGGGTTTGGTCCAAGAATGGGTTCAGGCTCTGTGAGGGCCTTTGACACTGCATGCCTGATAAAGAACCTAACACATGGGAATAGAGGCATTTTCTGATCAAATGTTTTGCTCTAGCAAAAATTAAGATTCAGGTGAGTATGGAAAAATCCAGGGTAGAAGACAGGGACACTCGATGATGACAGGCCCCACTCCACTTACTTTTTCATGACCATGTATCGCAGAGAGTTGCCAAGCGTGTGATCCTCATCGTGCAACACAAACGTGACACAGTTTCCATCTGTCCCATCTGCCTGGACCTGCCACAAATTGGGAAAGAAGAGATGCTGTAAGGTAATAAAGATCAAGCCTGGAGTGAAGAATAAATTACTGTGTCCAACTAAACGAGCTGCATCAGGCTAACGAAAAACAGGCTGAGAAAATGATATTTGATGCTGTTTCAGCAAACTGGGTTCTCAGTGCAGAGCCTGGTGTCGGGGCACCCTGTGTGTGAGCCCAGGTCATACACAGCTAGCTACCTGCAGACAAGTAACCTGTCTTTGATGCAAAGAGTCTCAAAAACATAATTTAACGAAAGATAAATATTCATTATCAGGAAGCCATAGAAGTCTCTCAAGGAGCCAGCTGGGAGATGCCCCCAGAAGGGAAGTCCTCTYGGCAAAGAACCAGGAATGCTCTGAAATTGTACATAGTGGCCTACGTGCTCTAAAAGCTCCCCCAGCACCACCACACAAGACAAGAACAACTGCCTACGAGTGCTAAGAGGCAGAGTCCATTCAAGGAGAGGCTACTTACGGCAGCATTTCATTAGAAACATGTCTAGGAGGTTGTTCAGAGAGGCAGAGGCTGGTGCCAGGCTCGGCTCATGTGAGGGAGAGCAAAACAAGCCCGYGACTGAGCTGCCTTCTCAAGCACCCGCAAGCAGCACTGCCGGCGAGCGCTTCCTGCGCGGCTCGCTCCAGATCCTCTGCAAAGCCAACAAGCCACTTAATTAATCGCTCGGCTGTCAGAGGGCTGCTGAGCCCTGACCCTTCCCGAGGCTCCGCACAGCCACCGTGGAGCCTGTCGGGCCTCCGCAACCCCCAACCGCTTCCTCTCTCAGCAGCAGAGAGCGGTTTCAAGGTTAAGCGTGGAGCCAGGCCCAGACGGGCACTGAACTCTTCACATCCTGCTGCAGCCAAAGTCCCGACTGCCCCAAGAGATTTATAAGCCCTCCCGTTTCCTGTCACGCAGCRACCCCCTGCAGCAGCCCTGTGCCTCTTTCTGCCAGTACAATCACATTCAGATCCACAGCACCAGCCAAGGGAATCCCAAAAGGGTAGAGGTGATGCACAAACATTATAGTGACAACGGGGGCGTTGGACTGATAGAGCCTTTGCCATCCCATAGCACCTTGCAATTCACTCCCGTGATCGAATAAGTCTCATTGACAGGGAGAATAAGGCAGGAGCCCAACTACTTTCCCCTGGAGCATAAAGACAGGGCATAAGRGACTTGCTGAAGGTCACCTGGGTAGTCAGTGGCATGGATGAGACACCTCGCTGCTCCTCCAGTCTCTAGACACAGTATCCTTCCTTCCTCTTTCTCCCAGAACCTTCTCTGCCCTACCATGAGCCCCCCAAGAAAGTATTTATTAAGATGAATATCCCCACTAGCACTCGAGACTTGTTTTCTTCCTCCAGTCTCAGACAAGAACAGATAGACTGGTCACCCAGTCCATAGCTTGCTCCCCGCACCCCATCACGGGGTCAGGAGTGCGCCCAAGCACATGCCAAAACCTCAAGCACCCCTACAAGGCAGATGCATTTGTGTTCGCTGGGGCTGTGACACACCTGTAATTCGGTCACAGGACGAGCGAGAAGCCCAAGCACGGAGTTGTCACATACTCTGTAGCTCAGAGACAACTTCGGCACTGGCCAGGACTGCTCCAGAGTCTCCACTGTCCAGCAGCAACATGCAAGACCTGCAGTGATGAATCCTGCACTATACAAACACAGCTGTGCTGTGGATGGACCCAGCCAGCTGTATTTCTATTATCCTGCCTTCGGGGTAAAAAAGAGACCCGTGGAGCAGGAGATCCACACAACACTTCTACCTGCCCGCTGCAGCCAGGGCACCAAAGGCACACTAACTCCATCCTGAAGCGGGGAACCTGGGGGATTCCTTTATCAGGAAGGAATTCCGTGCCCAGATTCCTTTACCAAGGCGCTGGCCCAGCAGCCAGGCTGTCTCGCCTCTGGCACAGATGCTCTCTGATGCTCCATGGGGAAAGCGCCACCTTCTCCAGGAGGAAACAGCAACAGCTCCTGAGGAGGGAGCCCTTTCCGCTCCTGGCGTTGATCAAGCCCCGGCGGCAGGCAGAGCTGGGATTTCTCAGGCAGCTCCTACCAGTCTCGTCCAGGAGGTACCAAACTACCCATCGAATGAAAACGCAATCGAAGTCAACCTGGGGAAAAGCCCCAGTTCCCACGGGATGGGGAATTCCACTCCTCTGGCACGTTCTGTCCATGGTTACGTGCTCATTTGCCAGCATTACTAACAGGTGGTTCCGTTGAGCCACGGGAAGAAGGAAGAGCTGAGAGTCAGGGCAGTCTGAAACGTGGATCTGACCCCATTCCCACATTTCAGGGACTGCAGAGAAGGAAAGTCCCCAGGTTACCACAGCCTGCCGTCCCYCACACACCGGGGGCGACCGCCTGGCCACGCAGAGCCTCAGGGGGCACCAAGGGAAGGGCCCCTGCGCTCCCCGCCCGCCCTCCAGCTCCAGCCGCCTCAGCTCGGCCCAGACCCGCGCCCCCCGCCCAGCCAGGAGCCGAACGACGAGGCCAGGAGCCGAACGACGAGGCCGGCCCCGCGCAGGCCGCGCCGCTACCCACCACCTCCAGCGCGGCCCTCCGCTCGTCCTCCTCCGACATGGCGGCGCGCCGGCCGCGACTACAACTCCCAAGAGGCAGCGCGGCGCCGGCGACTACAAATCCCAGGGGGCGGCGCGGCGGCGGAAGTGCGCGCGCGGCGGGCGGCGA